CTTGGGGGGGGGTGTGGGGTGTGTGTGCTGCTTCTGCTCTTTAACAGCGAAAAATGTCCCTGAATGGCGGGGGGGGAGCAGCAGGGGGGGATTTTCCTGCGTCCAGCGGGGCCCTGACCAGGCTCCCGAGTTAGTCCCGGTAACGACCGCAGCACGGAAAAGGCGTTACAGCTCTCGCAGCTTAAAAAAAAAAAAAAATTCTGAATTATTGAGTGCGCCTGCTCGAATGAAATGCTTGTTATCGTTCATAGTGACAGTGTTGAGAGGACTTCAGTCCCTCTGGGTGTTTGTTTTTGGGGCTACAGGCAGCTCGGAAGTACCGGTCCGTAACCGTATGCACTTTGATGACAAAAGTCGACAGTTTTCATGAGAAAACGCCTGTGACCTCCGGTTCTGCGAGAGGAATGATCAGGGGCTCTGCTCCGGCCCCGCTCCCGCGCCTGCCCTTGGTCAGAAACCGCTACCTACAACTTTGCCACTGCACAGTTGTGAATAAAAAGGTAATTCATGACGTGTAGCTTTATTTCCCCAAAATCTAGAACTGAAATGGGACGGGAGCGCACCCGCAAGGTGCCTGCGGAGGGTTTGAAGCCTCTTACAGGTACCTTCAGTAACTTTAAACATAAATGGGGCCGTTTGCTTTGGTTTTGAACCCTGGATGAGAGATACTGCTACTAATTCATCTCTTGGTTTTTTGGTCTGTTTTCCCTTTCAAACGTTGATGAAATGTCCCTGTGTCACTTTTGCCAATGGTGTATTTCGCTATTTTTCCCCCCTTACACCTGTCTTGAGCTACTAACACTTACAGACAGTTTGCTTTTTGCCTTTTCAATGTTCTGTTAAGGTGGGATTTTCTATTTTATAAAGCTATAAGTAGTTCTTTCAACCTGTAAAAAAGTTCAATTATATTTTACTTTGGTTTATATCAGTTACTTGGGTTTCTGAGTCCTATAGTAGTATAAAATAGATACCCCAAATTAGTAATTTGAATAGGATGTGTTAACTCAGTTGATCTTCTAGAGTGGTGTTAATTTAACTCCACAGAAAATTTAAATGTCTTCAGAAGACAAAGAGGCTCAGGAGGATGAGCTGCTGGCCTTGGCTAGCATTTATGATGAAGATGAGTTTAAGAGAGCCGAGTCTGCCCAAGGAGGAGAAACAAGAATTTGTCTGGAGTTGCCTCAAAACTTCAAAATTTTTGTGAGTGGTGAGTTCAGATGTTTTGTGTTATCCTCAGATCAGGTTTTCCCCAGCTGATTCGCTGGTACGTGCTCGTTGGTCGCTGCTCGAGCGACCCGCAGGAACATGGACCAGAGAAAGCCATGACTGACCCTGTGCTCGTGGCGTGGTCGGGGTTTGTATCCGAGTAGGTGATTTCATCCTCATCCATAGAATCTCTTTAGTGAACTGTAAAATTAGAGATGAGTAATAGTATTTCTTAGGATTTTTTTTTTTTTCCCTTGAGGACATGGCTTTCCGGGCTCTTGGTTTGTGCAGGAGCTGCTATTTCACAGTACTGATATTTACTGATTTAACCCTATATATATACACACAGCCCCGTGAAATTTTAGTGCGCTGAGCAGTTTTGTTATCTAGGGTTGAAAAAATAATTTAAACCCCATAAATTAATCCAATGAAAAGAGATATGCTGGGTGCTATCATAAGCAGTTGAAGTTGATTAGTTTTCATTTTCTTACTCTTTTTCAAACTGCCTCAATTGTCGTTGGTTCAGGCAGTTCCACGGAGAGCCTCCGGAACAACGGATTTGAATACACCGTTTGCTTTCTGCCTCCCCTCGTGCTGAATTTTGAACTCCCACCAGACTACCCCTCAACGTCCCCACCGGCGTTTACCCTCAGTGGGAAATGGCTCTCCCAAGCCCAGGTTTGCAAAATAGTTTTACCGTTCTAGCAGAGCTTTTGTGATCACGAGTAAGTTGATAATGAACAGTGCTCTGGGGTCTGTCAATGCAGGAGATGAAGGTAAAATTAAGACATAAATCATTGGGTTGCTCTTTCAGTTGGCTCCTGTTTCCTACTTATTTGGTCACCGTTCTGAGGAATGAAAGCTGGCATCCATGAGCATTACTTTTATATGTATGTATATATAACAAATATAGAATAGCCAGTTATAGATTGTATATTAAAAATACAGATTTTATATTAAAAATAGAGAACGGTAGATGATTCTGTGAACTCCAGGATCTGGAATCCAAGTGTGCTGTAAGGAGGACTGTGGGAGAGGAAAACAGTAACGAGTTGTCAGAACTTACCGAAATCTGCACTTGGGGTTTTTTTTTTCCCAGCTCAGTGCTCTTTGCAAACACTTGGACAACGTATGGGAAGAGAATCGAGGCTGTGTGGTCTTATTTGCCTGGATGCAGTTTCTGAAGGAAGAAACGCTGAGTTACCTGAATATTTCCTCCCCATATGAGCTGAAAATGTGCCACCAAGGGAGCAGGCAGAGTAAAACACCTTTGGTCCCTCTCGATGCTGAGAAGGATTGTGGGGGTGCAGCGGGCTCTGCCGCAGCCGAAGAGGAAACGATCGATGCAAGAGCTGTGCAGGATGTGGAATCGCTGTCGAGTCTGATTCGGGAAATCTTGGACTTTGATCAGGCTCAGAGGAGGAAGTGCTTCAACAGTAAGATGTACTTGTGCAATATCTGCTTCTGTGAGAAGCTGGGCAGTGACTGCATGCACTTCATGGACTGCAGCCACGTGTACTGCAAGGCCTGCCTGAAGGACTACTTCGAGATACAGATCAGGGATGGGCAGGTCCACTGCCTCAACTGCCCCGAGCCCAAGTGTTCTTCTGTCGCTACTCCTGGCCAGGTGAGAGAAGTGTGCAGGCAGTGCTGGTAGAGTTCTGCTGACTGACAACCCTCACAGAGCTGGGGTGTGGCTTTTCCCGGTGCGCCTGGTGAATATACCCGGGGAAATGTTCTCTCTTAAAACCGGATCACTCGGCCTGTGGTTCGCCCGCTGCGTTCGGACTGGCATTGCTCAGAGGCCTGAATTAACATCCCATTGCATTTGACGCTGCGTGCTTTTCATCTGGTTGTTATTAAAATAGCATTGGGAGTGTTGAGTGTGAGGAGGAGGAGGCTGAGGGGAGCCCTCATCCCTCTCTGCAGCTCCTGACAGGACGTTGCAGAGAGGCTGGGGCTGGGCTCTGCTCCCAGGGGATCAGGGACAGGACAACAGGGAACGGCTGGAAACTGCCCCAGGGAAGGGTCAGGCTGGGCAGGAGGAGAAAATGTTTCAGAGAAAGAGCGGTCCGAGAGTGGAACAGGCTGCCCGGGGAGGGGGCAGTCCCCATCCCTGGGGGGTTTCAGGGCCATTGGGATGAGCTGTGGGGGATGTGGGGTAGGGGAGAGCTTTGTAGAGTCGGGCTGAGGGTTGGACTCACTGATCCCGAGGGGCTTTTCCAACCCGAGTGATTCTGGGAGAATTTCCATAGCCTCTTACCAAACATAAAGTGGATGCATCCCATCTGTAGGTCCTTTTTCACTGATTTACAGTTCTTTTGCTGAAGCCAGCAGGCTCGGAGTGTGTAATCTTTCTCTGATCTTTGTTTAGGTTAAAGAGTTGGTTGGAGAGCAACTGTTTGCACGTTACGACCGCCTGCTGCTGCAGTCCACCTTGAACCTGATGGCAGATGTGGTGTATTGCCCTCGCCCGGGCTGTCAGACGCCGGTCATGCAAGAACCGGGTTGCACCATGGGCATATGTTCCTGCTGCAACTACGCTTTTTGTACTCTCTGTAAAATGACGTACCACGGGGTGTCTCCGTGTAAAGTCACTGCGGGTGAGTCACCGTATTGTGGAAATGGATCAAGGAGCAATAAAGTCTTGTGGGAAAAAGGCTGCAGGTCAGAAATGAAGTGAGGAAACTCAGCGCTGGGTGACTTTTCTAAAAGAGCAGACAGATTCATTTGGAGTAGGTCTGGCGCTGGCAATTAAAAAGTATTCCTTTGATGACACTCCACAGCTCAGGATGTCCCTAAACTGCTGACTGCCAAATTCTGAGAGGCCATTGCAGGGGACAAATAATTTTACGTGTGCCTTTTTTTTACCCTTTCCTGTGAATCCACTCCTTTCTGTTGTCAGAGTTGATAGTGGAATCAGGTGGATGCTTCTCCATCTGTTTGGCTTCAAAAGCATGTGCCCAAGTTTCATTAAATGTATGTTCAGAAAAAATATTTCCATTTTTCAGTTTACTTTACATTACAGATTTGATCTAATTCCATTGACTGATCTCTTTTATAACGAAACAGTGTAAAAATGTTGAATTTTGAGGTAGAGGGGTTTTAATATTCTCATGTTTTTCTTGTGTTTTCTAATGTTTCACTTTTTAATTAATGATATTAATTGCCTTTGAGAATATGCTGTTATTAGCTGAACTTCTTTATGTACTATATTACAAAAGCTGTTTTGTTTGGGGTTTGTTTTTTTTGGTTCCCCAGAGAAATTAACGGATTTGCGAAATGAATATTTAGAAGCAGATGAGGCAACTAAAAGATTTTTGGAACAACGCTATGGCAAACGAGTGATTGAGAAAGCCCTGGAGGAGATGGAGAGTAAAGAATGGCTAGAAAAGAACTCCAAGTCCTGTCCTCGCTGTGGTACTCACATAGAGGTAAGCACGGAGGGGAAAGGCTGGAGAATCGTAGTAACGCTTAACAAAAACTAATCTAAATTGAGTCAGTTCTGTATTTAGGCTGGAGCAGAGGTGTATTTGTAGCCTCCAAGTTCACCAGGGAAGGTGAATTTCTAAGAAATGGTAAGAGAACTTTGCATTTCTGGCTGCGTTCTGTAGGAGAGGAGGTGATGTTTCTGGAGCTCAGGGACTTGAGTAAACACAGCAACTGGTATTGTTCAGGCTCCGGCACTGAAAAGATGGAGGTTGACTATGGATCTGTATGAATCCCTTTGTTTTCCAGGTGTTGCAGGCTACTGCTCTTTCTGGCTACAGCCAAGAAATAAAACTAGCTTCAGAAAAATCTTAATTTTCAGTATTATTAGCATTACAGCCAATTTACAGTTATGCGATTCTAGTTGTCCTGAAGAGTGAAAAAGTATGAGTGCTAAGACAGAGTCAAGGTAAAAATGTATTTCTCAGTGGACATGGTTTTGAGGACTGTTACACAGAGACAGGCCCGAAGACTGACATGGTCAGATTTTTTGTCACTGCTATCTTGTTTTTTTTTCCCCTCAGAAACTTGATGGTTGTAACAAAATGACGTGTTCGGGCTGCATGCGGTATTTCTGCTGGCTCTGCATGGGCCTGCTCTCAAGGGTGAACCCCTACCGCCACTTCAATGACCCGTCGTCCCCGTGCTTCAACAGGTTGGTGTTGACTGCGTTTCTTCTAGTGCTGTAGCTCTTTGTTTACTTTTTTCTGACAGTCTCTCCCAGATTATTCTTACCTTGAAATTTGTAGCTACGCAGTTTAAGGCAGAGTTGTTTCTCTCAAATATTTATGCTTACAAGAGCCTGACACTAACGATAAAAAAAAAAAAACAGGAGTGATTCAGGATACGATTTTGGTTTTTAAGAGTTTTTGTTTTAAAATCCTGGAGAAACCTTCTGGGCCTATTCGTGACGCTTTCCTTGCTGCCTCTGACCGAGACAGCCTGTAATGAAATGTTTCCTTGCAGATGCTCAGGTACGTGGGAGCGCAACACAAGGTTTGGGGTAAAAAAAGCTGCTTCTACAAAGCTGCAGACTTGCCTTACATCACCACTCTTAGGGACGTATCGGGAGACAAAGGGTGCTGCTGCTGCCTGGACAGACGAAAGGGCAGGTGGCTCAGGGAGGGGGCTAACAGCAGCCCCTGAGCTCCGTGTACCCCACTGGGTCATGAGCCCCTCGAGCCCGTCGCCGTGACAGACGCTGCCTGGATACAAAAGTCAAAATACCAGCAGTTCTCTCATCCCCCACCGTCTGTAACAGATGCAGCTGACAGGATTTAGTTTTCCCTTGTTCTTGGCCCTCCTTTTTCAGCATTCCCTCTTCTCCCAACACTAATTTTTTCACTTCCTACCCTGTTTTCCTTTCTGTTTTCCGTCTGGTGTTCTTTTTTCTTTTAGTTTAGTTTAACTTCTACCTATCTTGACTAAGCTCACCTGTTATATATAAAAAAAAACATTTTCCCACCCCACCCCACCCCTTGATGTTTCTATGTTCTAGTTGTTTGCTCAGCTCTGTGTTGCCTGATTGTAAAGTAATGGAGCAGGCAGGCTTGGCTGGTGATTATACACTGCTTAAGGACCAGCAGCATGCTAGGTAACGTTTGATATGTTTTGGATTATTCATGTTTTCAGGGATTTCTTGAGATCTCATGTTTGTAAGGCACTGCAAAGCTTCCTGGTGTCACGTGCTTTAGAAGTGCAGAGTGACTTATTTTAATGGACTTTGAGGACTGCAGCATGAGTGGCTTATGATACCAAAAAAATAGTGCAGTTTGCTGCTCTTGTGGGTTTTGTCACATTTAGATTGATTTTTTTTTTTTGGGGGGGGGGGTTTTGCATCCTGATGGTAAATTATTTGCTGTCCTGCAGATTGTTCCAAGCCGTGCATATTGATGGTGACTTCCTGGAGGATGAAGACGAAGACTAGTAGCTTTCTCTAGCAACAAAAGCTGAACAAACCAGAGACAGATGCTTTCCATTTCTGTGTCGAGTTTGCTTTTCACTTCCATTACGTGATAGACAAATGATAACTACCTTGCACTGCAGGATACTCACGCTTCAGAGGCTGTTGCCAAAACCAAAGGAGACTGTTTTACCCATCCCGTGACCAGGATCACCACGGAAGGCCCTCACAATCACAGCGACTGCTGAAGGCAGATACAACCACTCAGAAGTTGGAAGACTGCTGGGAAAATACATACTAAGAGGTGCCCTTTTTTGAAAAAGCAAACAAAACTGAAGCTCCAAATCTCAGAAATGTTTGGGGGTTTTCTTTAGGGGGACTGACTTTTCGAGGATCTCGGCTCATGTCCGTTGGGGGTTTTCAGGCAGTTTCACGGTAGCTGTAGTGCTCTTTCTGGAGCTGTTCAGGGGTGCTGCTTGGACAGGGAAAGGTTTCTGATACAATGCAGAAAATTTCTTCTGTATTCAGCACCTGAGCTTATTGCTTCTTTAGCATTTCCTGACCCGTTTCTCTGGAAAGCCACTGATCGCTCTGTCAGTGATACTTTCTAATGATGGTAATGCTAATTATCCCTACACCCCGTACTGGCTGTGCTGCCTGGGTCTTGGCATTACCGAGTGCTTTGGCAGAAAACGACCAGCGGCCATTTCCAGAAATTTGAATCTGCTTGATGACTCATCTCGGTGTTGCTGTTGTATTCACTCACGTTGCTGCTCCTTATTTTGACAGTGGTGAGCGCTAAGGCAGCGACCCCAGTATGGGGCCAGTGAGAGGATGAAAAGTATCAGTCAGCTGTTGAAACAAATTGTTGTGGATACAATAGTTGAGATTAACTTGAATTCTTCAACATAACCGAAAATTAACTTGTTTTCTCAGATGATGAAGTAATTTATTTTTTACTAACATTTGATTAGTTGATAGTTTTGCTTCTGGACTAGATACCTTGTTTCTACTGTCCCTGCACTTCAAATTATTTCAAAACCAAATTGTTCCCCCTAAAAGCTCAGTAAGTAGTTTTGCGAGCGTGAAAGTTATTACTGGAGGGAACCATTAATTTTTTAGAAGTTTTTCCACTTGCAGAATGGTCTAAAATTTATTTTGAAATTAAAACTGCATGTGCTGTGTTCAAAACAATTAGCAGGGACTGGATGGATAGCTCAGGAGCTGGAAGACACTTCAGAAACTCAAGGTGAACACCTCTCAGTTTCAGCTGTTAGTAAATAAATTTATACTTGGGTATCTGGCCAGAATGAGTGCTGATTTAGTTACTTTCCCCGGGGATGGAAGTCTCTATTATTAGAGTTGGCAGCGATTAAACAGATAAGAGAGGTTAAGGGTGGATCTCGTGTCTTGGTTTAGAGTATAGGGTAGTGTGTAGGGAAAGTTTACATTGTTTATGGTTTAAATTGTATTTCCTGCACCTTTCACATGCACTAAATTCACTTTAAGACAGTAAACAGAGTTGTCTCCCTGCTTGTGTTCATTCTGGTGTGTACGTGGCAGCACAGGTCAGCGTATGGGACCGAGCTCTGTTCTGGGTGTTGCGGGGTTGTCTGTAGAGCGGCACAGAGCAGAGCCGGGCTGGCACCAGGCTCCCAGGTGAAGCTGGCACAGGATCTGTTCAGCTGATAAAAGGCTGGATGGTTCCATACACAGCGTGTCCTCGCACCCGAGGAGCCCCGGCTTTCTCGCGGAGATACAAGCCCCTGGTACGTGGTGGTGTTGCGCCACCGCTCGGGGATCGCTGCGTTGGACGGAGCCAGCGCCGAGCTGCATTTCCCCCCCACAGGAGTTTCCACAAAGGGTGTGTTGGGATGAGAAGGGCTGTCTGCCAGAGCTACCCGAGCAGAGCGCTGTGTGCAGCAGCTGAAGGTGTTGCAGTGAACCACCTCCGCTCCCAAGAACTTTGTGCGGAGGGAGGAGGAACGAGGACGTCGTCACCACTGTGTCCATGAATTTGGGGCTCCCGTGGACCCCTGGGCTGGAGCTCCCACACTCTGCAGCACGGTGCGGGAGGACAGACCCTCCGAGGAGAGGACAAGCAGGTGACTGCACTCGTGGGACAGAGAACAGCAGGACATGCCTCCACGCAGAGAGAGCAAGGCAGCGACTCTGGTAACGCGGCGCAGTTTCATCCTCAGTGTCTACGTTTTCCTCTTGTGGCCCCTTCTCCGCTTCTGTGCGTGCACAGAATGAGCAATGGATTATTTGCAGACATTCTGTGGTAAAAGGTGGAGAACTCTGACCTCTTCTCTCCTTGAAAGATTCCCCCCTTTTGCTGCTGCCTGGCAGGACAGAACTGCAGCAGGTGTTTGGTGGAAACCTGCCAGCAAACACTGGGCAAGGGGGGAGCTCCTGCAGTAGGGAGCAGCAGTGGCTATTTCTACCAAACTGCTTTCACTAGAGCTTTGGTTCTAGGTTGATAGAGAAATCTTGTGCAAAATAACAAGTCTTTCTCATGCTTCAAAGGTTTTGTTCTGTTCAAACCTGTTCAGTCACATAAACTGTCCCATGCTTCACTGGCACAGCGAGACTGAGCACCAGATACAGTCACTGTATTCACTTAGAAAAAAATCAGGACATTTACCTGAGAAAGTTACATTACAGATCAACAGCATCCAAAGTTTCTGCATAAAGAAAAGGAATGCTCCCCAGTTTGCCTTGCCCTCGTGTGATAGCATTTGATAGGAAACCCAGGAATCAAGTTTCAGAATGGGTGGGGTCTTGCCAGTACAGGCAGCTGTTCAAAACCAAACAAAATCCAGGAAACAAACCTTCCCCCCTGCCCCAAGTGCTAATTTGAGCCAAGAACTCTCTTGCCATTATTTCTACTTCACTTTGCAGTAACATTTGCCTGGGAATTTGCTGCTGTCTTTGTTAGCAAAGTGGTTTCAGGACCAGCTAGAACCCGGCTGTAACTCTCCTGCTGATCCTGGTGTGAGTTTTACGTACGGGGTGTCTGTGCAGGAACGGCCTCACTGTTCTCCACATCTAGTGACTGTTCTCTGTCTCTAAATCTGATCTTTGAAAAACAGGTTTTGGCAGTTTTGGACAGCCCGGGCCTTTTGCTTGGTGTGGCAGCCATGGAATAAGCCACAGCAGTTTTTTAGAACAGGCCTTTAGTTTAGGCTGTCGGGTGGAACGTGGCTTTATGGGAACGGTTCTTGGTGTCTCCCTTGTGCCGCCACAGGGGGTTTGCTCAGAGGCTCCTTTCGCAGCGGGGTCCGTTTGTTGCTGGAGTTACTTGGGACTGGTGAGACCAGCAATGAACTGACTGCTGAGCGCGGTAGCTCAGACCTCTTTCGGCCTCAGCTTTCTCAGATGCTGCAGTCCTGGCATAAGGATTCCCAGAGTATTTGAGCTCTAAGCCAAGGCAAAAATGAAAATAGCAAAAGGATTTAAGGGAGAGGGGGTGGTTTGGTCACTTTTCCTTAGAATTTTAAAACTCTTTTAGGTTTGAATTGTTACCCTGTTTTTATGCAAGCCCTGAATCCATCCATAGAAATTCCTTTCCGGATCATTTGCTGTTCTGTAATTAAACATAGGCTGGGGCCAGAGGGACTGGAGTGTCTCCTCTGGGGCTTATGTGGCATCCCCTTGTAGCAAGGGAAAGGACAGGAAGGAGGGAGAGAGAACTTACTGCTGCAGGCTGACACAAGTAACAGAGGGCCAAGCAGTGCAGAGGAGTCATTTATGCTTAATCCCAGCAAATCTGCGCTCTTGGCGTACATCGTAAAGCACCAGGGCATATAAAATTATACAATGAAAACGAACATGTCAGGCTTCTTGTGTGACAACAAATAAAATCCTACAGATGCATAAACCTCGTTATTAACACAGTGCTGGCAAGTGGTGCCGGCGGTCTCTCTTTTGCCGAGCTGGGCTCAAGTCCAACGTCCAGCTCAAAGGCAGGTTCAGCCAGGGCTTTATCCAGTCAGGCCTTGAAAAACTCTGAAGGATGGAGTCTGCACCTCTCCGGGGAACCTGCCCCACAGGTTGACTGTCCTCGGGGGTAGTTTTTTTTCCCCGTATATCCAGTCTAAGTACCTGGTCCCAACTCGAGCTCCATGGTCTCTTCTCTGCCTTGCCCGTGCCCTGCCCGGTTGAGCCTGGCTTGATCTTCTCTCTGACCGCCTTGCAGCTGCACAGCGCCTTACTACTGGCTCACGCTGAAGCTTTCCCTGCCCCAGGCTGAACAAGCCCCATTCCCATTTTAAATGACTCTAACGTTAGAGTGTATTGTGGAGAGGGAGCAACACAAGAGATACTTGTCCTAACTGCAGGGAATACACCCCAAAGGGATTACCCCCTTGGTTTCTACAACATTGTACTTTCACGCAGCTTCCCATTTCAGCTTTGGGGCCTTTAGTCCATGTGATTACAGTCGTTTCATAGGTTAAACAACTCATTCTCCATTGACTTTACCTTCAGAGAACAAGTTAGTGGCAGAATTTTGTGGAACACAGCACACTGGATCCCATCCTCATTTGGTTAATTAAGGCAGGTGTTTGGCATCTGTCTTTTTAATGGAAGGAAGCAAGCACATAATCATTTTGCTAATTTAAGAACAAATCTGAGTTTCTGCAGCAATTCCCTTTCTTCACAGCTGGTTTTCAACAGAAAGGCTGGTTCAGCACTATGAGCAGCGAGATTAATCGCTGTATGGCTTCTCAGACTGGCTTCTGTCTGCTCCCGTCTCCTTCATGCTGTATAAGGGTTCCACAAGCTTGTTGTGAACCAGCATTAAACCTAATGCAGCAAGTAAAAACAGGACTTAAGTAGACATATAAAGCAAAATTCTCATTTACTGGATGATACTGGAATTAGGTATTACTAGAGTCCTTGTTCCTTCACTCCCACACCCACGCAGTTAAGCATTACTTTTGCTCTTTTATTACTGCTGTACACCTCAGCTGTTGTATTTAAGGAACATACTCCTTTGGGAGTTAAAACACAAACAGGCCATGCAAAGCATGGCTTGTGTCACTTAAAAACTAAGTACAACAGCTGCTTGACCCAGTCAAACACTCACCTTTAAAGTATTTCACCGTCTTAACCCTGAGTTCCAGCGTGGCATCCTCATCGCACACAAACACAGTGTTGGGGTGTTGCTGGAAAGCGGATATTGTCCACATGTGGTTGACACCCTCCTCGATAGCTTTGTACAAAGCAAAGGCTTTGTGGGCTCCTGTGATAAGAATCATCACCTGGACTCCGAGACACAGAGGAGGGCAGTTAGGGACTGGAAGAGAGCACACCTACCCCCTGCTGAACTAAGAGGTGCCCGAGAGGGGACAACATCCATCATCCTCCCCAGAGGCACTTCACTATCACAAATCTGTTCGCTCTGGCTGCATTTTCTTCATCAATTAAATCCTAGCCTGGTGGGTCATTGTAATGATTCAGATCCTCTGAGGTCCCCTGTTAAGCACCTATATGCCGAGGCTTAACAAGTATAAATCAAGGTACAGACTTAATTAAAAGCTATCTCACAGAGTTTGCATGAGCTGCTGGTGTAACATCAAGTCCACCAGTGCTTCTTGCAGTTACTTCCCCTGATGAGATTCTTAATCAAAGACATCCTCCCAAACCTTTCTAGCTCCCTGGGAATCACAACTGTTCCGCAGGGTTACACAAAGCCAAGCGTTAGCAGAGCGAAAATGGAGGCCAGAGCAAGAACGAGCCTTTTCCCAGTGCTGCAGAAGGGGAGGATCAGGCACTGAGCTGCTTGCGGCAGGGGAAGCGTAGGCTGGCCCAGGCCAGCAGGGTGCAATGCCGCTCCAGGGCTGGATGAGCTTTAGCTGCTCCAGGAAGCCCTGCTCAAGAGCTACTGGATAAAGTCCTGCTCTTCTCCTAACCTCTCTGGCATCCATGACAGTGCCTACTCCGACCGTCAATGCCATTGTGGGGACTCTGGAGAGGTCACCGTCAAAGAACCTGGCATTAGCCAGTATAGTGTCCGTAGCCAAGGTCTTCACGCGCGTCCTGGATACCAAACTCGACCCGGGCTCGTTGAAGGCAATGTGACCGTCCGGGCCAATACCTGGGACACAGACAGTTGGAGAGGAAGGTCAGTGGCTGCAGCGCTCGTGGCAGGAAGCAGAGCCAACAGCACTGCTGTTAGAAAGACATTCAGTGCCTCAGGAATAGACACAGAGCTGAGGAAAATACTTGCAATATTTCTGCTCAAGCTCAGATTTGCTTCTGGTAGGAATGCTAGCCAAAACCCCCTCTGCAGTCAGCAGAGACTCTTCCCTAACTACAGGGGCAACAATAAAACAAAGTAGATGGCAGAATCTTAAGGCAAACTGATGGGAAAAGCTTGTGTTGAGCTCCTGTTGGCTCAGAGGACTCTGACTACTCCTAGCAGTTTCCTGTTAGCCCTGGCAACTGTAATACATTTTCTGTTTGGTACCATTCTAGCCCTGCCTGTTCCTCCTGCTGATCATTTCCTGAACAATTCACTTACTGGATTGAAATACTTAAAACTGAGGGAGCGGTACCCTGGGAAACAGGGCTGCCAGCACCCAGGAGCACCCAGGGCAGTGGGATGTGCGGTGCCTTTCACTGCAAACCCACCAAACTGTGCTGAAAATGAACTCTCCTGACAATGATTGAGACAGATAGCTGGTGGAGGAAAGGCAGAACTTCCTGCCAGTGTTTAGAGACCACGAGTCCTTCGGGTTTTCACCTCCAACAAAGAGTTCAATTCCTCCAGCTGCTTTGATTTTATCCTCAAATGCGTCACACTCTGCCTGTAGATCAGGTGCGTTTCCATCCAAAATGTGAACGTTTTCTGCCGAGATGTCGATATGCTTAAAGAAGTTATTCCACATGAAGGAATGGTAACTTTCCGGGTGATCCCTCGGGAGACCTGGTAACAGAGCATGCACGGGACTAAGACCAACTGAAACAACATCACCCATAACACAAACCATCTACACGTCCTGGTAGTGCCTTTGGTAACAGAGCACTGCTTTCTCCGTCTGTCACTGGTGACTCCCTCAACTTTCATGAGTTGTTTTTATTTCCCTAAATGGCAAAATTAAAATCAATCACAATAGCTCCTGGAAAACGTGCTCATATTAAGATGCAACAGTGTTCCAGAAAAGCAGGCACACGTCGTACCTCATCCGTTGCTACCTTTTCAGCCTTCCTCCCAGTTCATATTAGCAAGAATGATTAAAAAGCTGTGCAGTAGCCTGGGAAATAACTTACTGCATTTTTTTTCCCACTTGAATGCTATAAACCCACACTGGACTGCCTATTCCCTAATGCTCCCTGATTAGGGTTGTTCGCAGAAAAAATTATTGACTGGAGTAAAATCTGCATTAGCAAATATTTACCCTGTATGTGTTTCACCTTTGGAGCTTTTGGCTTGCCCGCTAATCTCTCTGTACTCTTTCTTCTGAAGAGACTATTTCTTCACAGCTCCATAAGCAGATCAGTGCTCTGCTATCTTAACAGGAGCGCGCTTGTAAGAGACCTGCAGCTAAAACGACCTTTATAATCCTAGAGCAAAGGTGGTAGTTTATCCTGCACACTATCTCGGCTTGCAAAGATAGATCAGAGAATACCAGGTTGGAAGGGACCTCAAGGATCATCTGGTCCAACCTTTCCTGGCAAAAAGCACAGTCTAAGCAGGAATCCACCACCTCCCTGGGGAGACTATTCCTGCAGCTGGTTGTTGCCAATGTGAAAAACGGATGCTTAGCTGGTCAATACCTAAATTCAGGGACTGAATACCTAAATTCAGGTACACAGCAGTGCCCAGTGTGTATAATACCAGGCAACACCTGATAACCTTTAATATTTCTTACGCAGGTTTTCAAATTGTGCCTGTTGGCTCCCCTGGCTCACGCAAATTTTATCCTTCCCACCCCGAAGCTCCGGCCGGTGGGATTTTCTGTGCCCACCACGCACTAAGAGGCCTGTCGGGGTGCGGTACCGGGCACCCGACGCCCAGGCTGGGCAGAGAGAGACAGGGAAGTAACAGACAGCAGAACCGCTACGGGAAGCCGAATACTCGTGGCGTGCGGGCACTCACCCACGTACTCGTCCATGTTGAAGGTTTTCACGTACTTGAAGGAGAGGTCCCCGTTCCGGCAGTACTCCACCAGCTTCCTGTAGCAGCCCAGCGGCGTGCTGCCTGCGGGGGAGCCGCCGCCTCAGCCCCGGG